CAGCTTTCTTACCTGAGAATATTTCATTCTTACAACTATCTTTTTGAAGCAGATAATTCACAGTGCTCATTCTTTAGATTCTAGAAAAGCCAACTCATGTTTTCACTCCATTTTCATTACGAAGGTGTATCATGTCAGGAATCGTTGCTCAAATCGAATCATGCGAACGTCATGGAAGTTCCTGGATCGTGTAAAATAAGAGTAGTACCAAAGGCAGCACCTTCTAATTTCATAATCAAAAATGGAAAAGTGGCTAAGGAGATTCCACACAATCAGAAATTCATACAGACAGAAAGGGCTTCGACAAGAAAGTCGTTTAGATCAAATCCATTATTGGGGTCAAATAAAAATAAAAAGGGATATGTCAGTGACCTAGCACAACAAAGCACTCTTCGAGGGCATGGAATGTCTCATTTTTTGGTCAGAATCTCTATAGTGATGTCTTTGTTAGATTCTCCAGTCAAAATACGAAAGAACTCCATTCAATTCGCAATAGGAACAGAGTTTTGCGAATTCCCCTTGGAACTAGAATAGCATTTCAAGATCTTTGAACATATTCGAGGGTTCAATGTGACTATTGTCACTTCGGCCAACACTCAAGATGAGACTTTACCACCGTAGAGCGGCTTTTGCCAAAAGGTTGAGGGGGAAACTCAACAAGGTGTCGAGGAAACGAATATACGAGATCAAAAATGTAGATTGCTCGCGACTAAATATGAGTTGAGACGAATGCTTTATAAAGCCTTTCGTAATGATCCTGATCTTCCTAGTGATGTGTGAGACAAATTTCGTTATAAGTTGTCCAAGGTGCCAAGAAATAGCTCCTTTGCATGAGTAAGAAACCAATGTATTTTCTCGGGTCGCCTTCGTTTTGTATATGAGTTCTTTCAAATTTCTCGTATCATTTTTCGTGAATTAGCATCTTGAGGTCCTTTAATGGACATAAAGAAATCGTCTTGGTAGCTACAAACCAATAGAACAATAGAATAAGGGTTAGCTCTGCATCTGGTACAAGCAAGGTAAGTAGGTCTATTACCGGCTGGCTTCAGACTGAAAAGATCTAATGGGGTAATCTCTTTTCTCGGATCAGAGATGCTAATGAGGTGGGAATCAAAATGAGGGACCTCTCTACTGCCTGTGCCTATCTCTGCTCAAGTATGCCCCCAAGACATAGACTACGTACTGGGTAGTACTGTTGGAAAGATAAAATATCTCTATGTGAAAATAACATTAAGTTATTAATGTAACTCCCAAGGGATCAACCACTATTCTAAATATAGTAAGGTGAGGAACTGTTGTTCATTGGAGCGTTGGAGTGTGGAGGTTGTTCTCATCATTGAAGTCAGAGTGTGGGATTGAACCTTCTGAATGATAAAGAAAAAAAATCCTCAGTTTCCTTGGAAAAACCAACGCAAATACCATATTGACTTTCCCTTTCCCTACTTCTAAGGATAGACAATTTAGGTTGGAGAGAGTAATTTTTTGAAATTCTCTCCTTTCCAAAGCCGCACAAGCCCCCCCCCCCCCCCAAAAAAAAAAAACCCCCC